TTTGAATAGGCGATTTTAGCATGCTTTTTGTTTCAGTTTTCCACTGACAATCTTCATTCAGAAATATTTTCATTGATAAATAATCAATATTTGCTTCAGTTAAATTCACAACGACATACTATTCGATCTGCATACATATTTGGGCAGCCATCAAGTAACCATGAAAATATGCATTAGTTCTAGAAAGATTCTCTTTCCCTGCTTTAGCCACTGACAGCCATTGAAGTAGTGAGTGATTCAGAATAAAACTATGTTACTACTGGGGGAAAAAAACTCACTAAAATAATGATCACACAGCCTTTAACTTCTGAGGTATAACATTTTTTTTCAACAATAGAAAACCTTTGTATTTGAGTAAAAAAAAAGGAAGTTAAGAGATTTTCATTGTATCTTTGAAGCTCTACTTAATATCAAAGCAAATTTCAAATAGTTAATGTGATCACAAAGCAGCTGGTGTTGCTCTCCAAACTAAAGAATTATACTTAAAAAAAAAACCTCTTCAGGCATCTGGAGCTGTATTAAATTCACAATGCAGTGTTAATGTAACCTTTCCACACCTTTTTCTCCCCACCCCCCTTTTTTAAATGAGTGAAAGAGTGATTTAAGTGAAATCTAACATTTAATTTAGTTTAATATATCGTAACTATACTATAAAATATCTAAATCTTATAACATATCTAGAAGTGAGGCTGAGGCCAGGCTCAGAGACTGGATCCCAACGCCCTGGAACTTTGGTTATCAGCCAAACCAAGCCCAAACTGTGTAGCTTCACACCCATCTCTAATCAGAAGCATTAACTTGACACTTTTCCAGACATGAGTAACCATTCTTCCATGCTGGAAGAACTCAATAAGATGCATTGTACAGCACTATTTCCATGTCTCTTATTTATTTTTGTGTCTTAACAACAAAGCCTGAGTTTTGGGCTTTCATTCAATTTCCATTAAAGAGCAAATATGTTTTTTGATGAGACCCTTTCAGTTCCAGGTTTCAGTAGTAATTTAAATGAGAACTTTGATATAGGGACTGTCTCTTCTGGGTTTTTTTATAAGCATAAAAAAGAGTATCTTAATGTCTCCTGGAGATCTGACAAGCACTACTCCATTGAAAATGAATATATTTGGTTCTGCAGAAAAACATAGGTACAAATTAAAAGATACTCAACTGAGCATCGCTGCAGAAGTCTATTTGCATAAGGAAAGTTAAATGCGTGGAAATGTTTGAAAGAGGAGGGCCTTAATAACAACAGCTGTACAAATAATTTATTAGGAAAAAACAATAAAGGTTTTAGATGTGGCCCAAGAATAAAACATAATGAATTAAATCATAAAATGAATAAAGTATCCTACTGCACTGTGCTTTTTGACCCTGCTTTTACTCTGCTCACATGTTCCTGTACTGGTAGGACCAACAACTGTCCTTTCAAACCTAATAAACAATTCTGCACATTAATTACTTTGCCTGATGTAAATCTTAACAATTGAAATGAAAATGAACATGTTCACAGTGTGCAAGCACACCACTAATATCTGAAGTTATCTTTTTTCCCCACTTCTGACTTTAAGGGTAGCTGACAGACCATGTTCAACAAGCAGCAGGCAAAGTAGTGTTTGCCCAAATTTAAAAACAAAAAACAAAACACAAAACAAAAAAAAACCACCCCAAAATCAACCAAAGTAAAAACAAAAAACAAAACACAAAACAAAACAAAACCACCCCAAAATCAACAAAAAAAAAGGAGGATCCAGAAGACAGAGACAGTGGAGCATTCAAGAACTCTTAACTTTCGTTATATTCAGGGAAGTCATGCTCCTATCCTTAGAAACACAAGGCAGACAGAAAACAAGCTGTCTTTGCTTATTGTCTTTACAGTTCATCATGGCTAATTTCCTTTGGAGCACAGAGCTCTTTTACTCCCAGTGTGTAAAATTTTAGCAACTGAACTACTTTTTGTGTCGTTTTTTTATACATACTGACCTCTGTAGCCCAGACTAAAGCTCATCAACCGATGCGTCCAGTTTTGAACAAGCCTGAAAGAAGATCCTGCTTTCACTCAAAACCTCAAGCATTTTGCAATTTGTCTCAAAGGGTTCATTTTTGTAACTCTGAAACAAAGTCTTGTCAACATTTTTGGTTTCGACAAAAAGTAAGCTAAACCTAGTGGTTTTGCCTGATCTTGATTAATTTGAGGGTTTGAACTTAAATCTCACAATGAAGCTCAAAGGGTATGAACTCACATGGACTGAAAGTGCAAAAGGAGTTTAAGTAAAGCCCTGCAAAACAGAACCAGAGAGTTTCACTTGGCTCTATTTTTCCGGCTTGGCATGTTGTAAGGCAGAAAACCCAGATGAAGAGTCTATCCCAGCTCATTTTCTTCTCCAATAAACTGCTGATCTTGGTACAAAGATCAAAAGCAAGGCCATACTTTCTTATATACAAGAGGCATGCCAGGTGGATGGGCTGAAGGAATGAAGGCATTCCATCAGTAACCATGTGTGTGCTGTAAGACTCATTTCAGTTTCCCTGTTCAATGTTTCACTGGAAATTTGAAGCTGTTTAGGCTCTATAACATCACCATTTTGGGTGTGGAGATACAGAGGTGAAACAAAGAATAAGGCTGATACTAGAAACAGATTTCTGCCAAAAAAACCCAGATCCAAAATCCTCCTGCAGTTCAGCACCTGATCGAAATCTAGGATTTTAGTTTCACTCGCCGTAGCAAAGGGGCAGCTAGCATGAGATTGAAATCAGATCTGAATTTCTTCAGTGTTCAGGTGTGTTTGGATCCAGAGTTTATCTTTTCGCTGTTACAACCAATAGTATTTCTAATATGGCAGTGCCTAGAATCCCCAGGTGCTAATCAGGATACTCTTGTGCAAGATTTTTTACAAACTCATAACAAAACAAAAAAAAGAGACTCTGTATTTATGTTTCATTACATTCCACAATCAGCTATTCTAGCTGGCTCTAAGAGCTATGTTTGGATCCAGAGTTTATCTTTTCGCTGTTACAACCAATAGTATTTCTAATATGGCAGTGCCTAGAATCCCCAGGTGCTAATCAGGATACTCTTGTGCAAGATTTTTTACAAACTCATAACAAAACAAAAAAAAGAGACTCTGTATTTATGTTTCATTACATTCCACAATCAGCTATTCTAGCTGGCTCTAAGAGCTAACAAGATCTGTTTACATGCTATCAATTGAGGTTTCCTTTACTTTCAGATTTTTTTTGCATTCTTGGCAGATGATTGGTGTTTTTTCTTTATGGAAATTGCCACTTGAAAAAAAAAATATCAGTATAAATTTCCTAATAATGCACACCTCTTTTTTCTCATGTCTTATCATCTCTAAAAATACAGAATGAAGAAGTCACTGCAGTCTCTTTAAACCACTAGTGAAAAAAAATTAAGTTGGTCATGAATTTTTCTTTAAATTTATTTCCACTCAAGACAAAAAATTAGTAACTTTTGTATTTTTTGCCTGCATTTCTTTAAAATTTTTTCAGCTTTCAGAAGCTTTCATTTTGCAGTATTCCTCTTAAAAGTTAAACTCTTTTTTTTTTTGATAAAAATATACCTCCTGTGAATTTTTCATGCTAGAAAAAAAAAAAAAAAATCATTTGTCTGTGAAAACATGTTTGGGTGGAAAGTTTTAAACAACTCTCTAAACTCCTGTGGAGTTTTAACTTTGTTTATAAACGAGGAAACTGATGCAAGTGCCCAAGCAATGGAACATGAATTGCCAAACCTAAGGATGTCACCTTTCCTCTACAAGTCTTGTGGGTCTACAAGAAAATCACACGTTCCCCAGTAAGCTAAAATCCTTTGTATCACGGATGTGACACAGTGAAGGTACAATAATAATGGTAACAAGCAGTAACAGCATTTGCAAGTATAGTCCTTTCCAGGAGCAGATTTCAAAGGCTCTGGCTGGCAAAGCATGCATGCACTTTCTCAAACGCTCTCCTGAATCAAGACAACAAAGTTTTACCAAGGTGAGCAACCCCATTTGGAGAGGTGGAAATACACACTAAAAGAAATGAAAAATGTCTCATCAAAGGTCACCCAGCAAATTAGCGATACGGTCCAACCATCTGACTTGCAATCCTGTATCCCTTTCGCTAGAGCATGCTGCCTCACTCTCAGTCGCACGAGTTAGTTCTAGCACCACTTTTCTACAGCGTTCTCTGCCGTGCCACCTTTCACACCGCAGAGACGTGACAGTGCATCCAGGACGTAAAAGGCCTGAGCATTCCGTTTACATTTTTGTGAGGGCTAAGTTACAGGTAAAATACTTATTTGTTAAACGTAGTCGCTTAGAAGGTTAGGGTATGAAAGACAGGAGACTGTGTCTGCCTTTCTCGTCACCAGTGACACACTTCACCTCCTTCTGTGTTTTTATTAGCTGGTATTCACAATACATCAGCGACAGCTATGATGAAACCAGTGGCAGATTTCACTGCAAAGCAGCTGGGTCATTGTCCCATGGGTCTTGTTGCTTTGCTGCGTGAGATCTTAAAGTGACCATCACTATTTTGGCTTCTTTTTTTAAAGAAGCTGAAAGGGAGGGCATGAGAGAGTTAAAAGGCAAAAGAGATGGAAGGAGATAGGGAGTGGAGGGAAATGAGGAGACTGCTTGTGTACTATGTACAGAGCTACTTTGAAAAATTCTGAGGCATCTAAGTATCACAAACATGATCCCTGCTGTGGGCAGCTGTATGTGCGAGTGCTTTGCCTGAGGGTGTCAAATCAAATATCCACTGCTGGTTGGTACAGTACATCACTTCCCCTTGGGGATTCAGAGTGGAAAAAGAGGAAAAAAGGGGAAAAAAAGGTTTAAACACAACAAATGGAGAAAAACTTTAACAATATCTGATACAGCTTATCATATACTGTCATCATATTTATTATGAACAATGTAGGAGAGACGAGAAAGGAGAGGGAAAAGGAAAAGGAGAAAAAAAGCAGACAGGCTAATGCCGAGGCTTATAAGACTTACCTGGAACCGTCTCATATCTCTTGGGTTTCCTGCTGTTTTCAAACAATTCTGATTGCACTTGAGAAAAAATTTTAAGAAGAATCTGGAAAGATAAAGAACCATGTCACTTCTATTAACCATGATAAAACATGTGTTGTTATATTCTGTTTTAAAGTATACATCGTAGTGATTTACATGATGGTGTATCAGTAGACCAGGACTGTAAGAACTTACCAAAACAGAAACAAAACAAAAACAAACCGTTACAAACAGAAGTTTAAAAAAAAAAAA